GTCCAGGGTTTGAGAGCCTGAAAAGGAGAGGTCAGCAGCAGGCAGATGAGTTAGAAGTGAGGAGCTGGTAGGGAGAGGTAGGCAGAGCGCTGGCAGCAACCTGAGGACTGGCAGCTTACAGACTCACCACAGGTCAGTTGGCAGGAGGCAGACACAGGGCACAGGGTCCATTTCAATAGAGCCTATTGGCGGGTGTGTGTATGTCTGTGGCAGCACTTCTCACAGCCTTGGGAGGGCAGCAGGCAGGGATGAGGCAGCACAGAGGAACGGGACAGACAGCAGGTGGCCTGAGGAACAGTTCATGTGGTACAGGTGGCTGGGACTAGGGAAGGCTTTGGTGGAAAAGGGAACAGGATTTTGTAGCATATGGTCACATGTAGACATACAGTCCTGGACACACATGTATGATTATGTATGCATTCACACTCAGACATACACATTCACAAACTCTGAACCCCGACACACACACACACACACACACACACACACACACACACACTGGAAGAGCGAGCTGCCCTCCATGCCTGCTTCTCTCTGCTCTCTGACTCCAGCTGAGGCTCATGGGAGGGCTCTCCCTGTGTTCAGCCCCCCACATTCTGCAAGCCCTTCCTAACCCTGGGAGAAGTGTGATCTCTGTGGGTGTGTAAGGCCTGTCATCCTGCAGGGAGAACATCTGGATGCCTGGATCTCTGGGATCTCCTGTGAGAAAACCAGGATGTGATGGAGCTTAGTAGAATCCAGAAGGCCCCAGGGGAGGATGGGTGGGACTCAGGCTCAGCAGGAGCTGGAGCAGGTGTAATTAGCCATGAAGCTGAGGACAAACAAAACAGGAACACAGCCAACAACAAAGCCAGCCTGGGAGGACAAAGGAAGCAAATGAGGAAGAGCAGCTGCATTCTGGGTAGTTGCGGGGGAGCACTGGGCTGGGTATAAAAGCCTCCCTGGAAGGAGCTCCAGACATCTTCACCCTCCTCCAGACCAACCAGCCTCCACCATGTGCCACACCAGCTGCTCCTCAGGTTGCCAGCCCGCCTGCTGTGTGTCCAGCCCCTGCCAGCCATCCTGCTGTGTGTCCAGTCCCTGCCAGCCCTCCTGCTGTGTGTCCAGCCCCTGCCAGCCCTCCTGCTGTGTGTCCAGCCCCTGCCAGTCATCCTGCTGCAAGCCTGTTATCTGCATTCCTGTGAGATACCAGGCGGCCTGCTGTGTGCCCATGAGCTGCAGACCCACTGTGTGTATGACTCCCTCCTGCCAGTCCTCTGTGTGTGTGCCTGTGAGCTGCCGGCCTGTCTGTGTGACCTCCTCCTGTCAATCATCTGGGTGCTGCCAGCCTTCCTGCCCCACCCTGGTCTGCAGACCCTCCTGCTGCTGACCAGTGTCTTTAACTGCTGTCACCATAGACAGGATACATCTATCCCTACCCACCTCCTTCTATGACCATGGGTTGGCATAAGGCACGTGGGGAAGCATGCCCAGCCCACCCTGAAACTGTGAGATAATCCAGAAGTGACCAGGTTCCTCTGACCTGCCCTTCTCTGAGAATGTCCTACCTCAAATGTCCTTCTCTTACCCCCTGTGCCAAATAAAGTGGCTTCTCGAGTCAATTCTGTGTTTGTCTTGGTTCCTGTCTGTCTGCATAGCTGCCTTAGCCTCAGAAAGCATGCAATATCAGTGCTCTCTTTGATCCAGCTCTTCATTAGGTAGAATGTAGGACAGAGGAATGGCCTGATAAAGTAGATGTGGTCATGTCCCTGTCCTGTCTGTCTGCTCTTGCACATATGGCCCCTGCCACGGACTCTCATTTCCTGTGGCTCTATCCTGCCTCCCCTGGTTCTTCTTCCCCAATGCTACAGGCACAGCAGAGGTAGCAGTTGTTAGATTGGCTGGATTGTCTAGGGCTGCATTTCCCTCTTCTCTTAGGATGTCCTGTGCCATGAGTCACGGTGACTTTCTTCCTGCCTGGCTGCTTTCGGAAGCTGGGTCTTGGTTCCGTGATCTGAACTTGTCAACTCCCTGCACCGTGGCATGCCATAGTTCTTGAATGATGACCAGATAGCATAACCACTTCCTATCACTTCCGGTATGGACACTGGACACATCGTCCAAGTTCCACTCGTGTCTTGGTGCAGCTGCTTCTAGAGCCGGGCGAACTCTGTCCTGTGTTTTCAGTGAATCTAGTTAGCTGCATTCTGTGCCTCAGACTGGCGCTTTGGTTTCGCTCATAGTCACGATACCAACATACCGGTGCCGCTCTCTCTTGTGGTCCCTCTCTCTCCATTGCAAAGCTTTACCCCCAGTCTCCTTCAGTCTGCTGTGCTCATTCTGCATAGAAAGCAAGTGTGCAGCTCCCCAGTGCTGTTGAAGTCCTGCATACTGTCCTGAATCAGCCTCTCTGTGGAGTTCTCACTGCTGGCTGGCTTGCTTAATCCATGAGGTGTTAAAGTCATTTTATAATCCAGATGCCTGGGTGGTCAAGGACGCACTGTGTTGGTTAAATGGGGGATCTGAATGAAACTAAGTCAGAAGTAGAATCGGTCATCATGGGATAATAGCCCTGGACATACACACCCCACTTCATGTTTACACACGGGCCAGTGCACACATATGCACTCTTATACACACTCCCTCGTGCACTCAAATTCACACAGTGACATGCAATCACACACAGAGAAGCCTGCTCTTGCATAAAAAAATCAGGCATAATAATCTTACACACATTTCTGTGCCTCCTTCATGTTTAAGTGCACACACACTACATAACCACACACACACATACACACACATGTGCATGCATACATATATGCACACTCCCTCAAACATAGTCACATTTCCTGAAACACCTATGTGTATACATGTGCCCTTGTGTGCCATACACTCGCACATGCATGGATTCTGGTGTCTCTCACTGGAAGGTGAAGGTAGATTGAGAGGCTGGGAAACAAAGGGACTCTCTGATGGTTAATATTGATTATCGACTCGGCTGAATCTATAATCTCTAAGAGATATTGTTGGGTGTACCTTGAGCAATTGTCTAGATTAGGGTAGTAGAAATGGGGGGACCCACACTAAATGTGAGTGGCATCCACCATGGGCTGATGTCCTGGACTGAACAAAAAGGGGAGAGCGAGGTGAGCACAGGCGATCCCCTCTGTCTGGTGAGCACAGGCGATCCCCTCTGTTCAGTCCATCATGGGTAACAGAGTGGTTCATGTCCTGATGGACCATGAGATGACAGACTAGGAATGGTGTTGCTGGCTTGGCTTTCTCCATTTCCATGGGTAATCTGTCTAGTCCCTCAGTTTCTCAGCCCATGGGATGGCACCTCCAGAGTCAAGGAGGTCTATCCTCTCAGCCAGTCTTCCAAAACACACACACATACACACACACACACACACACACACACACACACACACACACACACACACACAGAGAGAGAGAGAAAGATCTTGGGTGTGCTCCATCTCCTAGGAGATGCTTAAATATTTATTTATTTATTTATTTATTTATTTATTTATTTATTTATGCCTTTTATGTACATGATTGCTCTGCCTTCATTGCATCAAAGAGAGCATCAGATCCAATTACAGATGGTTGTGAGCCACCGTGTGGGTTCTGGAGTTGAATTCAAGACCTCTGGAAAAGTAGCCAGTGCTCTTAATCTCTGAGCCATCTCTTCAGCCCCTTCTAGGAGATTCTAAATCCACCATGTGGACAGTGAAGACAAACCATTACCCCTACCCTCAGAGTGGCCCCAGGCTTCTCTAGCCTCTTTCTATGGGAAATGTTCCCCAATGGGCAGAGCCTAAGAGGCAGGTTCGGAACATGAGGAAGGAGAAACAGGACGAGGGTTTGGATACATTTATTCCTTTGGGCAGAAGTCTAACTTCATTCAATGTTAGGAGAGAAGAATGACAATGAGAATAGGAAAGAGGAGCATGGGTATGCTCCTGCTCCACAGGAGGGAAGTTGGGGGACAGCTGAGTTCCCTCCTGGCCCTACCTGATCATGAGAGATAGTTCCCACCTAGGCTTATGATGGTGACAACCCTAGTATTTGAGGGACAGAGAGGAGAGCTCAGCACTCAGAGGACTGGCATTTCAGAGCCCCAACAGGCCAGCGTGCAGGAGTCAGCAACAGGGTGTGGTGGCCTCCAGACAACAGCAGTTCCCACAGTGCTAGTGTGGGTCGTGGTTGATGGGGGAGAAGCAGGGAACAGCATGGGGAGCCATTCATGTGGCACCTGGGGGCTGGACAGAGAAAGGAAGAGGTCTACCGTGAGTGGTCACGCATAGAAATACAGTCCTATATGCACATGTGTGGCTATCTACACATTTACGCTCAGATATACACTCATGCACAAACTCTGAACCACATGTGTGTTTAACACATGTGCATGTTCACACTACTTCACATGCAGGCTTTCCACACACACATACACACACAATGAATGCATACACAAGATGCATGCACACACACAATGCACACACACACACACACAGACACACACACTGATTCCCAGATGTTCTATGCCCTTCCTATCTGATGTCTGACATCATCTCTGAGCTATAGCATGCTCTGTCAGGATGCGCTTCCTGTGTTCAGCCTTTCCCCTTCTGTAAACCCTTCCTAACCATAGGAGAAGTGATGTCTTTGGTTGCATGAGGACCATTGTTCCATAGGGAGGGGCATCTGATCTCCTGGACCTTTGAGGGTATCACAAAAAGAACTCATGAATGACAATAGAGCGAGTCTGAAAAGAGAGAAGGTATTGGAAAAGCCCAGGTGTGGAAGGAGCTTGTTGAAGGTATAATTAACTATGAAGCTGAGAGCAAAACAAAAGCAGAAACACAGACACAACAAAGCCAGCCTGGAAGAACAAAGGAAGCAAATGAGGAAGGGCAGCTGCATTCTGGGTAGCTGGGGAGCACTGGGTGGGGTATAAGAGCCACCCTGGAAGGAGCTCCAGTCATTCTCACCCGCCTTCAGACAATCCCGCCTCAGCCATGTGCCACACCAGCTGCTCCTCAGGCTGCCAGCCCTCCTGCTGCGTGTCCAGCCCCTGCCAGCCCTCCTGCTGCGTGTCCAGCCCCTGCCAGCCCTCCTGCTGCGTGTCCAGCCCCTGCCAGCCATCCTGCTGCAGGCCTGCCATCTGCATTCCTGTGAGATACCAGGCCACCTGCTATGTGCCCATGAGCTGCAGACCCACTGTGTGCATGACTCCCTCCTGCCAGTCCTCTGTGTGTGTGCCCGTGAGCTGCCGGCCTGTCTGTGTGACCTCCTCCTGCCAGTCATCCGGGTGCTGCCAGCCCTCCTGCCCCACCCTGGTCTGCAGACCTGTCACCTGTAGCACCCCCTCCTGCTGCTGACCAGAGCCCCAGTGAAGATGGGCCAACCTGCCTTCTAGCACTTCTCCTCTGCTGCTGGTTCAGCATGTGAGACAGATTAGAAACATCCTGCTCCCCACTGGGACTCTGGAGGCAAACATGGAAGAGTTATCTGGATTCCCCTCTCCTTGCCCTTTGGAAGGATGCCCTGGCTCCAGGGCCATCTCTAGCTTCTAGTGCCAAATAAACCAGTTTCTCCATCTCAGTTCTGCATGTCTGCCCTGTTCCATGTCTATCTTTCTTGGCTGCTCCTATACCAGAGAAGATGTAAGGTCAATGGTCTTTATGACCCAGTGTCACAGCGATTCCTCGAGGTGTGGGACACAGAAGGAGGGCGTGACCCGATCAAGTGAGTGTGGTCAGCTCCCTGCACGTTAAGTGGTCCATGACTTGCTGTGTACTTAGAACGGAGGTTGTCCTGCCATGGTCTCATTCTCTCTCATGGCTCTGTCCCCCACCCTGTCTCCCTCTAAGTGCTTTTGCCCCAAGAAGTTCCTGGATGGAGAATGCTCACTGTCCTCAGCCAGCGTCTCCTCTCTGGTGGTTTTATATCATGGTCTTAGGTCATGGTGGCTTCTCTCACCACAGGTAAGCTTCTGGATGCCAGGATCTGAGATGTGGACTTGGCTGTTGCTCTTCCACCTTCTCATCGCTGGTCCAAAGGTGCCCATTATATGTAATAAACGCACAGACCACACAGACTAAGCACAGCCTCCATGTGACACCAGCGCTCAGGGCAGCTGCTTCTGCAGTTGTGTGCACATAGCTTGGTTCTTTGAATGAACAATGAACATGTTTCTGGGTTCTTAGGTGTGAGCTTACAGTGTGGTCTCTTACAGTCTCATGTGATCATTCCTTATAGAGGTTCCTGGGCTGATCAGGCCCCAGGTTCTCTGGTTTTGTTTTGGTGTTGGGCGTTATCCTGGGCCAGTCCCTCTGTGGAGTTCTTGCTGCTGGCTGTGTCATGCTCCAGGCTTTTCCTTGACGTCTGCAGATTGGTGATGAGCTATAAGCTGAAACATGATTGTATATCCCAACAACCAAGGAGGCTTTGTGACTTGCTGTGTACTTGAAATGGAGGTTGTTGAGGGAGCTGAGCCAGAAAGGAGACAGTCAGTCATCCTGAGCTGTCTCGAACATGCACACCCTCCTTCATGCATCTTCAAGCGTGTGCAACCTTACACACTCATATGTATACACACACACATCCTTGTACACTTGTGAGCTCTGCACACTCCTGTTCATCACACACGACTGTGATCTCAGACAGAAGGTGGAACTGGATTCAGAGCCGTGTGTGGGGAGAGTTTGCAAGTTCCCGCCGCTTCCAATGGAAGGCACGGAGCGCAGATCTGATGCCTCTTTGCCCCTTTGGTGTTAGTTGCTTTTCACACTGATAAAACCCCCAAGACTCATGGGTTTAGAGAGTTCACTCCCTCGTGACTGAGGAGAGTGGAGAAGCTCATATCATGGTGATCGGGAACCAGAGAGGGGGAAACGCCAGTGCCCTGCTGTTGCCTCAGCCCTGTTTGTATTCGGTTCAGCCCTCCAGCCTATGGGGCAGGGTCACCCTCCTCGATTATTCCTGCCTAGAGAAGCCTTCCCAAACCTGTCCAGTGGTTTGCCTCAGCCTCCTACAGGCTACATTCAGTCAAGTTGTCAGTGAAGGTTCACACTCAGATGTCAGCCAAAGTCCACTTGACATCCACATGTGCCATTTTAAATCAGAGCTTTGCACCCCTGACTCCCCAAAATTCATGCCCATCTCACGGTGAAGCAAAAATCACCCCTTCCATCTGCGGCTCCCTATATATAGTCTTAACAGTTTCCACACAGCTGAAACATTAAATGTCTTTAGCAGTTCAAGGAAAACTATTTTTAAAAGTAATTTTTACAGAATCTTTGACAATTCTATATATGCGTTTTGCTCATTTTGCCCCCATTTCCCTCTCACTTTGTCTGATCCCTTCTTCCTGACGTGTCCCCTCCTACTCTTTTTAATAACCCCCTGATTTTTAACAAGGCTTGCATAAGCATGTGCAGGGCTGGGGAGTTATTTACTGTCTTGGGGAACTTACCTGAGTGGTTTCCCTACTGAAGAAAATGACCCCATGCCCCAGCAGCCACTAACTGCTAGTAGCTCTGCAGCTGAGGGAGGGGCTGCTTATGCTCCTCCCCAAGCATGCTGGGATAGCTACGGCAGCTTTGGCTTTGTCCAGGTAGCCACTACTTAGCTTCATGAGTGTAGCAGCCATGTCATGTGTGGAAGACAGTGTTTCACAGTGCTCCTCCCCATCCTATGGCATTCTTCTGGCTCCATCTTGTCTCCAGTGATGGTCCCTGGGCCTTTGAGAAGAGATAACATAGGTGGTCCATCTAGGCCTGAGCAGTCAACAGTCTCTTAATTTCAGCACTTTGACCAGTCCGGATCTTTGTATCCATGGCTTCCCATGGCAAAGGGAAGCTGCTTCTCTGAGCAAGGCTGAGAACTGCCTCTGTCTATGGGCATAAACATAGAAATGTTTGGAAGGACTCTGACATTTTGATTTTTCCAGACAGGGTTTCACTGGGTAGTCCTGGCTGTCCTAGAACTCACTCTGTAAACCAGGCTGGCTTTGAACTCACAGAGATCCACCTGCCTCTGCCTCTGGAGTGCTGGGATTTTAAGGCACATGTCCATTTAGAACAGCAGTATTAGAAGGTTCCGTCGATGTAAACTCTTAGCTGTGAGTCCCTATAGCATCAAGTTACATGCGCACACCATTCGGTGCCGGAGTACACAGCCCCAGTCCAGAATGGACAAAGGATACATAGAAGGGAGACAGCAACCAGAGCTCAGCAGGGCCGAGAGCAAACCTACAATGTTGAGGACCTGAGGTTAGTCCTGATGTGACCTCACATGGGCTTGGGCTGCCCCATCCACGTGTCCTAGCTGATTGGGGCCCCTATTGATGGACTCCCCTTTGTGTCTCTGTCTTTCCTTGGCAGATGCCTCATGTACTTGGCACCTCTAATGACGTTGGGTCCCCATTGTAGCTTAGGCTTCACCCTCATGACACCACAGAGGCCTCTTTCAGGGATTCCCCACAGATATTCCAAACCTGTTATACATCTCCTGGATCTTGAGACTTTTTTTTAAAAAAAAAAAAAATGTAGGGACAGGCTTCCATGATCAGAGAGCTCTGACTTATAGCGTGCCTACTAAACTAATGCCACATGGAAGACAGTGGGGTGTTGATGCCAGGCTGAACAGTAGCTGGGCCCCCAGAGATCATAGCTGCAGTGGCATATGAGGGCACAGTGAACGAAAACACTTCCATATACATCTGAGTATGGATAGGGCACCCCTGTCTAGGTAGGCAAGTTTCATTGTGGGTTATGAGGAGCTGTGGCCATACAACAATGGTGGAGCAGGGGGTCTTCCAGGAGGCCCAGCGCTCACCTGGGCTCACGACTACAACAGCAAGTCCAGAGTTAGAGGGCCTGGAGACGAGAGACCAGCAATAGGCCGAGGAGCACCAAGGGAGGGACCAGCGGGAGTGGGCAGGGCAGGACGGCTAGCAGTACCCCAGGGACTGGCAGCTTACAGGTCAGCTGGAAGGAGACAGACACTGGGCATAGGGTCCATTTCAACACAGCCACATGGGGGGGGTCCATGTTCTCACAGCCTTGGGAGGGCAGCGGGCAGGGATGGGGCAGCACAGAGGAATGGGACAGACAGCAGGTGGCCCAAGGAGCAGTTCATGTGGTACAGGTGGCTGGAACTGGGTAAGTCTTGGATAGAAAAGAGAACAGGCTTTGGTGGCATATGGTCACACTGGGCATACAGTCCTGAACACACATGTGTGGTTATGTGCATATTTAGACTAGCACACACACATACCAAAACTCTGAACCCCGTGTGCACATATGCATGCATGTACACACACACATACACACACACACACACACACACACACTGGAAGAGCGAGCTGCTCTCCATGCCTGCTTCTGTCTGCTCTCTGACTCCAGCTGAGGCTCATGGGAGGGCTCTCCCTGTGTTCAGCCCCCCACATTCTGCAAGCCCTTCCTAACCCTGGGAGAAGTGTGATCTCTGTGGGTGTGTAAGGCCTGTCATCCTGCAGGGAGAACATCTGGATGCCTGGATCTCTGGGATCTCCTGTGAGAAAACCAGGATGTGATGGAGCTTAGTAGAATCCAGAAGGCCCCAGGGGAGGATGGGTGGGACTCAGGCCCAGCAGGAGCTGGAGCAGGTGTAATTAGCCATGAAGCTGAGGACAAACAAAACAGGAACACAGCCAACAACAAAGCCAGCCTGGGAGGACAAAGGAAGCAAATGAGGAAGAGCAGCTGCATTCTGGTAGTTGCGGGGGAGCACTGGGCTGGGTATAAAAGCCTCCCTGGAAGGAGCTCCAGACATCTTCACCCTCCTCCAGACCAACCAGCCTCCACCATGTGCCACACCAGCTGCTCCTCAGGCTGCCAGCCCTCCTGCTGCGTGTCCAGCCCCTGCCAGCCCTCCTGCTGTGTGTCCAGCCCCTGCCAGCCCTCCTGCTGCGTNCGTGTGTCTTCCCTGGAGAAATGAGCGTTCAGTCTTCAGCCTGCTTGGTGCTGGCTTGTCCTTTTGCTGTAATAATTCTTTCCACATTCTAGTTATTAACTTTATCAGATACACCGCTTGTCAGTATCTTCCTTCCTGTAAGCTTTCTGGTCCTACCCTCCGCATCTCTCTTGTGCAGTCTCTGTGTGCCTCTGTGTTTCCCCCACTGTCTCATCCTTCCTTCCCTTTCTCCATCCGCACTTCTGATGGATGGTGCTGTCTTCTGAGGATAGGATCCAACACTGTGTGTGTGTGAGGGGCGTGGGAGGGAGAACAACTTGTCTCTGTCTATCCTCTCTACCATATTGGTTTAGGATTGAGCTCAGGTCATCAGGGTTGGGCTCATGTGCCTTTCCTTGCTGTGCCATCTCACCAACACTTAAATTCTTCTTCTTCTTTTCAAACTCATCTGTTTTTGATGGAATAATTTCTGTTTGATGGAATGATATTTCTTCCTTCTTGCATCTGCTATCGGGTTTGTCCAATGTGTATTTAAATTTCAGCTATTGTACATCTCAGTTTTAGAACTTCCTTTGTTTGATTAATTCCACGTCCTTCCTGGGAGTCTCTACCTATTCACTCATGAAGATAATATTTTTCTTTGATCTTTGGGCTTAGAACAGCTGCTGTGGTCACTGCCCGTCTCTGTAATGAGATCATGCCGGATTCTTTCTGTTGGTTGCTTTTACTTATAAAGGTGATTTATATCACAAAATCTCTTATATCTGGTTACTTATGAAATACATTTGGAGACTCTGGGTTCTATTATCTTCTTGTGACTACGAGTTTTGTTCAAGTAGAGAGCCAGCTAGTTGGTTATTTTGAGCTTGTGTAGATCTGTTTTTAAACTCTGTGGGGGTACAAATGTGGAAAATCCACCCAGCCTCCACTCAAGATCCCACCTTTCCTGATGGTACTTGTGGCTCACTGCTAAACACATCAAAAGGAGGACCAGCTGTGCTCCCTGTGAACCTATATTGACTTTACCTGCTTTCCAAGGGTGTGGCTGGTCCAACCTACCTTCACCCAGGACACAGATGGTTGAGGACACTCATTATATTCAGCCTTCTAGACCACAGGAGAAGAACAATCTCTGTGGTTGTAGGAGGACTGTCATCCCACAGGGCAGGACTGTTGTCCGACAGGGAAGTTATCTGAACTCCTGGACTTCTAGAAGCCCATGTAAGGAAATCAGGAATTCATGGGGCATTGACAAATCCACACAGTACCGGGAGAGGATGGCTTGGGAGCCTAATGTAGCAGCAGCCAGAGAGCTGCATTAGTCATGGAGTTGGGCAAGCAAGAGCATGGACAACAGCAAAGCCAACCTGGGAGGCCAGAGGAAGCAAACAAGGAAGACCAGATGCATTCTGGGTTTCTGGGACACTGGGCTGGGTATAAAAGCCACCCTGGGCAGGAGCTCCAGTCATTCCCACCCTCCTACAGACCAGCCAGCCTCCACTATGTGCCACACCAGCTGCTCCTCAGGTTGCCAGCCTGCCTGCTGTGTGTCCAGCCCCTGCCAGCCCTCCTGCTGTGTGTCCAGCCCCTGCCAGCCATCCTGCTGCAAGCCTGTTATCTGCATTCCTGTGAGATACCAGGCCACCTGCTGTGTGCCCATGAGCTGCAGACCCACTGTGTGCATGACTCCCTCCTGCCAGTCCTCTGTGTGTGTGCCTGTGAGCTGCCGGCCTGTCTGCGTGACCTCCTCCTGCCAGTCATCCGGGTGCTGCCAGCCCTCCTGCCCCACTCTGGTCTGCAGACCCTCCTGCTGCTGACCAGTGTCTCCAAACCACTTGCCTCCATGAAGATGGGACACACCTGTGTGGTCAAAACCTTTTCTACTTGGCCTCAGGTTTGTGTGTGCAGCAGATGGGAAACATACCTATTCCAACCTGACACCTGGGGGAGAAGAGAATGCAGAAGCAAGATCTGCATCACTTCCCCCTGACCTCTGATGGATGTCCTGGCTGCAGGGCCTTCTCTAACCCTGTGTGCTAAATAAACCAGTTCTTTTGAGCTCAGCTGCACTGTTTCATGTCTATCTTCCTGGCTCTTGTATCAGAAAGGCAATGTCAGGTTCATAAATGTTCTCTACGAGCCTTTGGGAGACGAGATGGGGTGAAGGACATGGCCTGGTTGTGTAGATATCATCAGGTCCCTGGCATTCCTGTGTGTATGAGTGTGCAGCCCTGATGTGAACTCACTGTCTTCGCTGCATCCTACCCCCCCTCCCTCAGTTCTTGCCCAGGGCATCTGTAGCCGACATTCTGATTGTCCATGGCTAGTTTTCCTCTCTGGTGCTGTCTTGTATCCAGGGTCCTGGTGACTTTTACAGGGCACTTTTTGGGTGTGTGAATCTTAGTTATACAGTGTGATTGACCCTGTAACCCCTCCCCTTCAGCGGTGCGCACGTGCCCATCTTTAATTGGCTGGCGATCAATTATAACCTAATAAACACACAGCACTTCCACCTTAGAAACTTGAAAGTATCGTCTGCTGACTTCTTGGGGCCATGGCTGCTGCAGTCATGTGGGCATCGCCCGTCCGTCAATGAGTGGACTCCAATCTGTGCTCCATGTGCCCTGGACATGTATTTTTAAGTGTTTGTCAGTGCTGCCTATGACCTGGGTTACTTCCTCTATGCACATTGGTGACAGTCTCTCATTTCTGGTGTGCATCCTTACTTCTGGCCTCCTGCAGGCTGTTGTGAGCAGTTCCCACGGAGGTTCCCAGGGATGGACAAGGAGCCTGGTCAGTGTCTGCTGTGCCTGTGGCTCCGTCCTGCTCAGTCTCTCCCAGAGCTGACTGCTGGCTGTCCTGGGCTACAGCTGCTTTCTTTCTGTTGCAGAGAGGCGAGTTGTTAATATAGTTTTATAGCTCAACAGTCAAGGTGATCTGTGACTACCGTGTGGTATAAATCTGAGCCTTGGAGTAGGGCGTGGCGGTGTGTGAATCCTAGCACTCGGGAAGCAGAGGCAGGCAGATCTCTGAGTTAGTTCCATGCCAGCCTGGTCTACAGAGTAAGTTCCAGGACAGCCAGGGTTACACAGAGAAACCCTGTCTCAGAAAAATAAACAAGCAAACAAATAAAAAATCCGAGCTTTTGATGAAACTAGGCAGACATGGGACCAGCCCCCATTATTCTCAATATCCCTAAAGTTCTGGACACAGGAAAAAAGTCCGCATTGTTCTCTGCCAGATTGTGCAGGAATGACCTCGAGTCTAGCTCCCAGCAGAGTCCCTGTTCCCACGTGAAACCTCCTGAGCTCAGGCTTCCTTCCTGTCTGAATCCCAGCAGCATTCTTGTCTTCTGAGACCCCATGAGGGCTCCCCCTCAAGCTCTGCTTTCTGCTTTTTAGGGCTTCTGTGCTTCAGCTCTCTGAACTCTGGCAAATTTTGTCTACAAACCTGCAACAAAGGCCCGAGAGACCCCTTGACGAGATTAGTTACAGCAGCTTCGCATCTTCTCCTCATAGAGGCTCTGTATTCGTTAGCTCTGCAGTGCTGCGGTGAGTCACCCAGCAGAACGACAGAAGAGGGAGAAGAACTTAGTGCTGGCCCATGGCTCCCGGGTGTTCAGTCCGTCACAGTGGAGTAGAGTGGTTCACACCATGGGGGACAATTAAACAGACATAAGATTGCTGGCACTTGGCTGGCTTTCTCCTTGTTTGTTCTCCCAGGATCCTAGCCCATGGAATGCGTGTTGCCTCATTCAAGTAGGGTCTCCCTTCTCAGTTCATCCTCCATGAAACACCTGCACAGACATGCCTTGAGATGTGTCTCTGTCTCCTGGGCTATTCTAAACCCAGTCAGGTTGACAGTGAAGATGAACCTCCAAACCTTCCCTCCCTGGAATGGACCCCAAGGCCTGTCCCAGGCTCCTTCTGTGGTTTGCATGTACCCCAAGAAGTAAACCCTAGGAATCAGGTTCAGAATGTGAGAAAAACAGGAATGGATGTTACGGCCGGACATTTTAGGGGGCAGTACCAATTCTCCCAAAAGTCATGAGGAAGGGAGGATAGAGAATAAGAGAAGATTTAGGGAGGTGCCTCTGCCCAACCATGCAGGAAGTCTGGGGAGAGGTGAGCTTCTTCCTAATTCAACAGGATCGTGATAGAGTGTTGGCCAGGAGGGACAGTTCTTTCCCTGGCTTTGGAGGTAACAAACAATAATAACAATTTGGAGGTAATACTAGAGACAGGTCCAGTATTTGACGTATTCTATAGCAGGGGTTAGTAGAAAGCAATGATGCTTTGGGTGAGGGTCCTGAAGATCAGGGTGGGACAGGGGTGGCAGCACCTGGAGCAGGGAAGCTCATAAATGTGACAGGCCTGTAGCTCTTTAGTGTGGAGAACACCTGCATGCATCAGTCAGACATGCAGCAGGCCTGCTTACAGACGGCAGCCACACAGGGGCTGTCTTATCAGGGGCACACATTGACTTCATGGCAGTAGAAAGCCTCATTGCCCCAGTTTGGGTGGAAGGCAACAGGGGTATAGTGTAGCGAAGCAGTTCAGGCTGATAGGATTCTGCAGAGTCTGACACTTTCTTCTCATTGCGACAGTAAATCTTCATTGTCACCTTTACTAAAGTTAGGTCCTTCTAAGGGACACATCTGTGGCATGTCTGTGAAGGTATTTGCATAGAACGTTCACCGAGGAGAGAAGGAAGACCCCTGTATTCGTTACTCTACTGCTATTGCAACAGAACACAAGGCCCAGAGAATCTAGTGAAGGGCAGGTTTCTTTTGGTTTGCAGTTCCTATGGCTAACTGTCCATCACGACAGGAAAGCGTGGCAGCAGGCAGGCATGGTGGCAGGAGCAGCAAGCCGAGAACTCTTATCTCCAAATGCAAGTAGCAAGCAGAGAGAGCAAACCAGAAGGGGCACAAGGCTTTCAACTCATGAAGCCCGCCTCCAAAACACACTTCCTCCAGCAAGGCTGTGCCTCCCTACCATCTCTTGAAAGAGCGCCACCAAGTGGACACCAAGTGTTAAAGGCCTGAGCCTGTGGGGGAGCATTTCTCATTTAAACTGCCACAGATGCCACCCTGAATTGGGGTCATGGATTTAATAAAAGGAAAAACAGGGGAGCACACCATGCAATATGCCCAGTCACCTCCCTTGTGCCACCATGTGTTCCCTGCCATCTAGATTGTATCCCCTCACACCGTGAGCCAAAATAAACCCTTCCTTCTTAAGCTGTTTTCCCAAGGCATTTTGCCATAGCAACCAGAAAACACCAAGACAAAAACTGAATATGCAAAGAAGACCATCTGTATCCTGGATTGCTGGGCCACTGGCCTATGAATAAAGGCTATCCTGGGAATGAATTCCAGTCATTCTCACAATCCTCCAGCACCAACCAGTGGAGTCCTGTCATGTGGTTCACAGTCCTTTAGAGCTGGTTAGTGGGAGGGACAGAGAGGGGTTTGGAGCTGTGAGCTAAAGCAGCTCTCCAATGCTGTGTGCAGAGCTGAACGGGCCATCCTATAGGAAGATGCAAGAGTAGAATTCCAATAAAAGACAGCACTAAAGATGGCTTGTGTGGCTTCAGAGCAGAATATGAACTCACCAGGAACTGTGCTAAAAGTCATTTGTGGGTGAGTCAAGCAAAACAAAACAAAACAAAAAAAAATTGCTTTCTGCCCCTGTCCAAACATCTCTAAGTGAAGTGGAATTGAAAGCTCATGGGCTAAGGCATGCTCGCTCTCAGATGGTCTACAGTGAGATGGAGCAGATGCTGTGAGAATGTGCAGGTGGGTGAGGAGAGGAGCCAGTTTACAGTTGTAGACCAGCTGAGTGTGTGGAGAAAGCGTGATTCCTGAGGTGATTAGCACTATTAGAGAGAAACCTCGCATTTGACGCTGGAAAAGAATTTAAGGACCATCAGGGCAAGACCCCACTCCTCAAACTGTGAAAATGCAAATTTGTTTACAAGGAGAAAACTCCCGAACTGGAAATGTACAGAAGGCTTTCCCTGTTCCAGAACAACTGCCCAGGTTCTCCAGCTAAGGCACATGGAGGTGTAGGAGGAGGTCGCTTATTCTTCCTGTCCACCAAGAACCAAAATAACCACACAGAAACTGTATTATTTAAATCACTGCTTGGCTTAGCTCTAGCTTCTTATTGGCTAACTCTTACATATTAATTTAACCCATTTCTATTAATCTGTGTATCACAACGTGGCTGTGGCTTATCGGCAAGATTCCAACCAGCGTCTGTCTCCAGGGGCTCCATGGTTTCTCACTGACTCTGCCTTTCTTCAAGCATTCAGTTTCGTTTTCTCCGCCTACCTAAGTTCTGCCCTGCTATAGGTCCAGAGCCGTTTCTTTACCCATTAATGGTAATCACAGAATACAGAGGGAAATCCCCCATCACTGAGGCCTTGCCAGCTATGGTAAAGGAGGGCTACATTCTATCTTGAAGAACATGGCAACATTGTTATATGGTGTTCTAGGCTTGCAGACTCCAAGAGTTGCCAGTTTATGAAGCCTTGCCACAAGGTTCCAGAACACCTCTGAGTTCAGACTGTGTGGCAGGGTTGGCTACCTTAGGGCTACTGAAAAACATGTGTGTAAAATTGTAAAGGTGAAATCTAAGTTTCAATGGAGACCCCAGGATGTTGGAGGTGTAAGGACTCTGGGATGTCCACCACCAAAAACTTCAGGCATAGAGTGGAACCTGCCTAAGAAAGAGACTGCGTGTAGTTCAGAAAGCAGAGGCGGAGGGATGGGACTACTCAAAGTTGTTGAAGCCCAGATGTATCCACCATG